ACACACACACACACACACACACACACACACACACACACAGAGAGAGAGAGACTCAGTCAGACATATGGTTTGTTCTCAAGGTCCGTATGTATTTATCCTCCCATGTGACCCAATCGCTCCTGGAGATCCTCAAAGGCTCGACTGTGTTGTGCATTCCATTCATACACACACCGACACACACACACACACACACACACAGCCCTATAAACACTCACTAAACCCGTCGGTGCCCATAGTCCTTCTCCCCACAGCCTTTTCATGCTTAATTTGCTGTTCAATAGGTCAGGAGGAAAAGCACACATCAAGCGCACGGGGGGGGGGGTGGCAGCAGTTTCGCCTTGTTGTGTGTTTCCCACACAGATGTGACTCCTGCGAGTTAGCAGGTCTTTAAGAACATGAGTAAAGCTGCTGCTAAAGTCAACAACAGCTTTATTGTTGCCGTCTGCAGCAGCCATGTGTTTGTCAGGAAACACTTGGAGTTATTTGTCATCCTTTGCCCTGTTCTGCTTCATGTGGGCAATTTGTTTGTCATTACGGCAGAAAAGAAAAAAAACATTATGAGGTATTTTAAACTTTGTCTTTTTTTCATCATTAAATGAGACATTTCACATTTAAATCATTCAGTTGGGGTCTATATAAAGTGGAACTGCAATTTGGTCTGAATACCTCCTTACTGTAACTCYACAAGCCCCTTTCACCRCTTTTCTGAGCTGTGTCTCCGATCAACACGTTTTGACGCTGTCTCTTTAAATGCAAATGAGGTACTCCACGCAATGACACTTAGAACAATAGCTCTCTACACAACATTTTGAGTATACAAACAGCATTAAAACATATCTCTTAATACTTGCAAGTAGGACTGACTTAATGTAAAGTAAACMGCACAGAACTGCTACAATCTGTAAAGAGTTTCACTCTGGTGTTGAAATGATGAYGTCACTCRTGCTCKGGTTGCTCAGRTATGGTCGTGTTGCACCGAATTCCCGAGTTGATGCATATGTCCCCTGTAAGGCAATCTAAATGGTAAAATAATCAGAAATGGGGTTCCATGGAGTGGCTATAAACAATAAATATCTTACCTGTTGTGGACAACGTTTGGAACGACCTCAGATTGACGAGCTTATGGCCGGTTTGAGTGAGGCCAAGAGCAAAGGCTGMTGTCGTCTGAGCTGAAGAAGTCAGTTTATAAAAAAAAAACTGATCTTTTGGAATATCCACGTCATGTCAAGATGACAGTGATGTAAATGTTTATAAAACAGYGTTAACTTTTAACTGTTTTTTTCTTGCTCGGACAATCGGGTAACATGTTAATTGTTCATAATGTTTCCAATTACTTTAAAATGACCTGATCCATCACTTTAATATTAGATGCTTTTGTGAATTTTTCCAGGTTGTTRTGGCTAAGTAAAAAAAGTGTCAATTTAGATTTTTTTAGGCTTATTTTTTTCTGAATGAGAGACTGGTCCAAATGCAGATGTAGTTTTTTTTTCATACATTTGGCTACAAAGTAACCCCAGGGACCATCTGGAATGTTTACATCATGCATTTCTCACAGACAGAAACTATGAATTCCTTCTTCCTCATACCACCACTTAATGGTCCTGTGAGTTCATCCAAACATCAACTGTTGGTTTGCCCAATAGGTTTGAAACTATTCACTTTATTATTTTGACAAAGTAATAAAGGTTGAAATCATTTGGGAGAGGTGGGGAGTAGTGGGGGGATGGGGGGAGGGGTCTAAAATGGCTACCTTCACTGATGTCACCTGCACCCAGCAGGACCTTTTAGCTAACCAGCTTATCTGTTCTTCGTCTGGTTTGATGACATTACATTTCTCTCTCTCCTCTTCAGACTCTGGGTTTTCTCGGTGATGACCTCACTGCTGTTCCCTGGAGACGCCCACGCTGCRATGAAGGACCTCTCCTCCTCCTCCTCTCCTCTTACCTCCCTTCTCCACTACCCCTCCTCCAAGCCCTCAGTGGTGCCCTTCTCGCAGTCGGCCAGTCCTGCCTCCTCGCCCGGGGTCTCGCTGTCGTCGGTGCCGCTCTCCAAGCCACAGCCCTTCTGCCTGCAGACGGGTCCACATCTCATCGCCAGCATGCAGCTGCAGAARCTCAACTCCCACTACCAGAACCTCGCTGGCTCCGCCGCGGGCCATCCGGCGCCCGGTGGAGCTCCAAAGGGCTACTCGCCGCTRGGTATGGGTAACCAGCTCCTGGGGCCGCCCGGAGGCCTCGGCGGCGGGGGAGTGGGGATCGGCCAGGGTGCAGCGGCGGGCGGTATTATCGACTTTGACCCCGTGGATGAGGAAGTTCTCATGTCTCTGGTGGTAGAGCTGGGTTTGGACAGAGCCAACGAGCTGCCGGAGCTGTGGCTGGGACAGAACGAGTTTGACTTCATGTCAGATGTACCGGCTGGATGCTGACCTACAGACAACGGAAGCAGTGGATTTAATCAACCGAGCGACAGAAACCTCCTCTCGCAGTTTTGTTTTTCTCYGTTTTCCGTTTCTCGGTCGACACCGAGAAAGCAGAAGAGACGGCAATCAAGAAACTCGAGGTGTTTTCTTGTTTCTGTTTTCCTTTCGTGCTTTATATATGGACAGGAGTTGCTGTAGAAAAAAAGACATCTCACTTCCTTTTGTTGTTGGTTTTCATTTAATCAGAGGTATTGTCTTTTACTATGATCAAACCAGTGATGGTGTCACTCTACGTTTTGTATTCTGTTTCCTTTAAAAGACCCAAAAAGATGAAAGAAAAACAGAAGCATTAGCAGAGTGTTAAATCCATCCTCCATCGCTCTGTCACTGTGGCCTAATGAAAACTTGTTGAATGATGTGAAAAGGGACTGAAAGGGACATTTGAGCCAACCTGTTGGGAGCGAAAATATAAAGACACATAAGATGCAGCTGTTGGACTCAAACCCCCTCTTTTCTCAGAGCTGTCCAGTGTTGATCAAATCAGTGCATAAAGAAAATGAAAATATGAACCGCGACCTAATGGGAGATCTAAAAAAAAGGATGACAAACACTGCGCTTCCTGTTTTCCTAATGGACAATATTAGCCTCTGGTCTCATGGGAAAGAGACTCATGTCTCTTGGCTTTACAAAGATCTGATTGTCTGAGAACTGATTATCTGCTTCTTTCTTTTCTTTTTTTGTTTGAATTTAGTTCAACCAGTTGTATTTGTGTTACTTAAGACATCTGGCTGATATCCATCAGGAGTCTTGGACAAAAAGCACTTCTGTAGTTGGTTCTCTGAAAAAGATGAATTTGATGGAGAAACGTGGAGTTCTGTAGGCACGTGAATGCAGGAAATTGTCTGGCTGTGGAGCAAATYCCCATTAAAATAAACGAAGCCTTATGATCATGTAAGTTGTGACTAAATCTGTGTTTTATTCGGAGATAACACATGCCAAACTGGGGTGCTGGTTAATTCGTGCCATCGCCACTTCGTACCCCAACTTGTACTTAGTGGTTGACATTTTGTACCAATCTGCCCTTGGCTAGGGTTAGTCTACATTAAGATTTTATTTCCCATTGACTCTAAAGGCTGAAGGTCCAGATCAGGTCGAAACTTGGGTACATGATTTTCACTTTCATGTTGCATTTGAWTGTGTGTTTGGGTACATTAGGAGATTTGAAATGTACTGTGACTGACGTTTGTTTGTGAAGCGTAGTCTAGGGTTAAGGTTAAAACCAAAGATTTTACACTAAAGCTAGGGCCAAGTGGCAGGGATAGATGTCAGAGATTAGGATTAGGGGCTCGGTGGACAGGGCCAGGGGKTTGCCTACCTTCAAATTACAGAAAAGCTGTGTCTGTGTCTCAGTTCAGGGGTTGCAGCCCACATAAGCCGCCAATGTAGGCTGCACGAAATGAGACGATCTAGTCAACGAATGACGTATGTTTGTGAAACCGCACGTTGCACCGTTAGCGTTGTGATACATTGCTTATCCCTTCTGTTGTCTTTTCATGGTATAACTTCACAAAATTCAAACGTTACACGTAAATAAATAGGATGCACGTTGGATACTCAGATGCAGCTTCCATTTTCGGGGTTTCGTCGGCTGCAAGAGTAGTTGTTTACAAATTGGGACGGCCTACTGCGCAGCGTAGTAACGTAAGCAACTGACAAACGCGCTCTATGTYGGCTGCAWCCCCTGAATTGAGACATAACCAATGTATCAACAATATTTTATTGATCCCAAAGGGAAATTACTTAAACTTACTAAAGTATTTTTGAATTGAATTTAATTGAAAATACTAAATCAATGTTGAGGCTGCTGCAAAGGTGGATACAAAGTGACTTGTGGTTTTTACTCGCAAAATAACTGCAAAACTACAAAATGTCAAAAGTATGAATTAACCTAGAACCACCTAACGGGAGTCAAAGACCCTGAATATTATTGTCTCAACTTGKCAGCATTCACACAAACTCAACAGTAAAGAGGGTTTCTGCTTTTCCTCTCAAATGTAACTGTCAGAACAGATCTCATCAGCCCAGAGTGACCTTATTGGCCCTGCCTTTTAACGATCCTGATGGGGAAGTGTTGTCTGCATTGTTATCAGGAGGTCTGCAGGCTTGTGTTTGTACACCCTTCACCCTAAGCACACAATGTGGAGTCAGCATGTCAATATGTTGCTTATGCCTAAGTTTGAATGGAAATAAAGTTTTAGAGATGATGAACTCACAGAAGCTAATGCTGTTTTTTTTTCATTGGCATCAAAGCAACTTTTAGAAATGTAATGGGTTCAATGTACCTTGACAGGCTAACATGTAAACATCAACACTTGAGGTCCTACGTATATTAAACTTGTCCTATTAAAACCAAAAAGTCACTATTGCTGTTTACCTTCTACCTTAACACTTAATCAACACCCATCATTGAAAATCAGTCAGCAACATACAGAAAACTGAAACCACTGGTGAGTTGAACCACTGAGAAATGGACCGATGAGCATATCCTGGACTGGATGTTCGTGGATCCTGGATGWTTGGGTGTTTCATCCCTATGTTCCCAGTAGAATGCCTTGGCTGTAATTCAATATTTTTTTCATGTCTATTAAATGATATTTTAAGGGGGTGCCAAGCATTTTTCAGTACTTTAGCCTCTTCTTCATWGTCAAGTCTCACTCCAATTGGTTCATGTCTGTAGGTGTGTCTCCATGACTGTGTGTCCCTCACTCTGTGGGTGGATCATCAGCCGGCAGCTTTGGCYGTTGTGGTGTTATCATTTTGTAATCTAACTTTGTCATGGCACTGTTTATAAAGGTAACAGTGGGTGAACAGTTTGTCCGAAATCTCCCAGTATGGATTGCCCGTTCGACCTCAAGCTGCTTATTGTCCTAAAACTGATAAAAAAGGTTTACACCACTCTCCAGGAGGAGTTTGCAAATTTTGCCTAGGCTCAGTCAATCCACAGGCAGCAGTSCACTGACGTCAAAATTGCTTGCCCTTTGTAGGTGGATCCAAAGGCGTAGTTGGAGCTGGAAATGGAGAACAAAGTTACCAGGGAACATAGGTTTGCTCCCAGAAAGTTGGCCTTAGAATCTTTAAGTTTCATGAAGGGACACCACCAAGCAGAAAMCATGGGGGCTTAATGTTCACCTCACAAACAATTGGTGCCCCCCCACCACCCCGTTCAACTGGAGCCCCTCTTGTTCAGAWAATTTTAGCTGCTGCACCAGCTTTTGCTTGGTGTGCATTTTTACACTTCCCAAGCTGTACAGCTCATACATGTCAATTTAAAGAGGATCTTGGGGTAAGCGGACCTTGGAGTACAATACAATTAGAGCTGTRGTTGTGGTTAGCATCGATCAAAATTAATTCAATTTTAAAAATCTGCAAAAACATGTTATTTAAGAAGTGTTGTTGCAACAGGACTTGCAGTAGTGAYAGTTGATATGCTGACAAATTATGCAAAGTATGATAATGGTTCATACCGTTAAGCGATTACTCAGCCATCATTTAGAGTACATGTCAACTCTTAAGGATAAAACTGCATTTGTTCAGGCTGCCTGATGCTCGTTTGCCTAACTTCCCACATTACTTGTGATGTCATCTCAGACTAGCGCTACGAGGAGTTAAAAATATAAATGTTTGTCCCTCCCCACTGAAATGTTTCCGGAGTTGCCACTGTTCTCATGGGACTTCAGATGCAACACTTGCATTGTGGCTCATCCTGCAAATGCTTGGATGAAATCAGATCTGTTTGGAGAACTAGCTTGTGGCTTCAGCTCTCTTCCTTGCATTCTTTGAGCTTGTCTAAAGCCACAGATCAGTTTCTCTGAAGCCCCCAGCTGTGATCCAAAGGTCAACTTCAGTGCTTTACTTTGAAGACGTTCCTGAAAGTGTTGAGTTACATCCTAACACCTTCAAATCAGTGCCCGTCACATGATAATTCAAATTCAATTCAAAAATACTTTATTGATCCCAGAGGGAAATTAGGTGTTGTTGTAACTGTGGTTTTGTATTATATTACTCAACTGGAAACCACAAAAAATAGTTTGCACTGAGGTAAAAGGAATCTAAGCCCAAAGCTAGTATGTAATTATCAACCTAATTCTAAATAGCCTCCAATGCCAAACACAAAAACTCAATTAGTTTCACAGGTTTTAAGCTAAAATTTGGTGTGGTRGTAACTCAGACTGATCCAAATCACATACTGTATTAAAAACAGATTACACAAAGTCTTTGTTTTAACATTTGTCTACTGGTGTCAATCATTTCTGTCTGCAAACAAAATCTTATGAACCACTGTGAAGAGAGAGACTTTCAGAAAATAATCATTGGACGTACWTCTACAGCTGAAATTGGTGGTGGAAATTTGGCACCTCACCTCAATGATTGATGTACCGATTTTGGGCAATGCTAATTCGTCCGTCCATTTTCTGCCATTTATCCAGGATTGGGTCACGGGGGCAGCAGCCTAAGCAGAGAGACCCAGACTTCCCTCTCCACAGCCATTTGGGCCAGCTCGTCTGGGGGAATCCCAAGGTGTTCCCAGGCCAGCCGAGAAACATAGTCCCTCCAGCGTGTCCTGGGTCTTCCTCTGGGCCTCCTCCCAGTGGGACGTGCCCGGAACACCTCACCAGGGAGGCGTCCAGGAGGCATCCTAACCAGATGCTCGAGCCACCTCAACTRGCTCCTCTYGAYGTGGAGGAGCAGYGGCTCTACTCTGAGTCCCTCCTGGATGACTGAGCTTCTTACCCTTTCTCTAAGGGAGAGCCCAAACACCTGAAATTATAGCTTCACTAATGCTAATCTGCTAAACGTGTGAAAACAAAATTAGAGAAAGCTAGCGCTAAACAGCTAAACATCAACAGAATTAATACAAACAGCTAATGGCTAACCACTAAGATGACCGTCTTTCTGTTGTGTCACATGTCTTTGTCTCCTTCCAGCTGAAGACTGGTGGGTTTGACACAAACCTGTTGATGTTAGTCAGTCAGTCAGTCAGTCAGTCAGTCAGTCAGTCAGTCAGTCAGTCAGTCAGTCAGTCAGTCAGTCAGTC